CTTTCCTGGCTCCTGCTGCCCACTTTATAACTCAGTTGTAGTACTTATATACAGAAAAACATGTCGTAAGCATGGAACACTCTGGTTGTGTCCACGCAGGCTATATGGCAGCTGACAGCTACTGTCCATCGGGAGCTGTTCTAGCCATGGGGTTGCAGCAGAGGGAGGGGTTTTGTCTTTGAACTCTAATTTTAATAGATGGGGAGGAATAGCACACAAACGAAACAGAAGGGAGAGAGTGTACGGAGAGAGCGTGACATAACAGAGTCAGGTGGCAGCTCTTTCAGTGACGTTTGTATGCACAGCTGATATCCAGGCAAGTCTGGCGATTCCCTGGGCTGAGAAGTGAGGGTTTCAGGTGAGAAATGAGGGCACACGCTGTGAGTTTGGGAACTTGCATGGGGTCTGAAAGACGATGCAAGGAAAGAAAGAAGCCTACAGTTTGGAGATAGGTTAGGGATGAAAGATCCAGAGATTGTAAAGACAAGGCGCAGGAGAGGAAACTGAGGTCATGAAGCAATTCTGTGGCTTTGCTTGTCACTCCATGCAGTGGGAGAGATAACTGAAGTTCTTAGCCAGGGTCTGTAGATAGAGTTTAGGTGAAAACTCACATCGTGATTTTTCACAAAGCTGGACCTGAAATTTAGTATCTCTTTCCACTGTGAAAGCAGACAGCAAACCGTCGGCCACCGCTGCTTCCTCCTCATTTTTCTGCAGTGCTGCGGACTTCAGGTATCTGCGGTTGTTCCCCAGTGCTTATGTACACCAATGCACAAAATTATGGCACTGAGCAGGCCGCTGCTGGGTCACATCTGCTTAAGTTCACCCATCCTAATTCTCTACATCTCATTTCACACACTTATAAACAGTCTTCTGAGAAGGGCCTGGGGCATGAGAGTTCATGTACGGCCCTGTTACTGGGATTAGTGATGCAGAGTCACACGCTTAAACTCAGTACTTAGAGGCATCGCTCTAGCGGCTCGGTTGAGGATGGATTTGGAGAGCAAAGGTGAACACGTGAGGCTGCCGCTGCAGCCTCCCAGCTGTGGAGTAGTGCTAGCTGGGGCGAGCAGTGGCGGTTGCAGGAGGTGGTTGCATCCAGGAGTATTTTGAAGGGATAGCCCATCTGCCGTGTGGCTAAGATAAAAGGGTGTGCAAGAACATCCGGGCGAGTCTGGCTGTTTGGGCCTGCGCTGCTGGCCTGTGAGGCTGCCACCATCCAGATGGGAAAGGGGGTCTGATTCGGAGTCTGCGCATGGTGGGGCAGCAGCAGCCTTCAGATAAGCTTGTCCAGATTTTGAACGGTATTTCACGTCAATTTCCATTAATTTTGACTTAAAAAACGTGAAACTGTATTAGTGGATACTGGTGCCCTGACATTGTTCTCACTGCTAAGATTTTCCTTAATCAAACAACATTTCTTTTTTTCCCTCATAGTGACTTTAGCTTAGGCTCTAATTTATCTGTTATTTAATCACATTGGTTTGGCTTGACTGTTAGTTGCCATTGCCATCCCATTTCTTTTCAACTTTCTCTGATATTTTACGCATGTACGCACATAGGCTATATAATGCATGTAATAACGGCCTATTGTGATGTAATGTAACATCATATTCTCACCTGATTGTATACTTGAGCAGTTCTTAGCAGATATATAATGATATAAACTCATCAAAAACATTTCTTGTCACCTCTAAGCCTAACCACGCCCACTGAATAGTCACCTCTGGGTATTTTGTCCCCAGAGCCTACCAGTCTCCTGTCTGTCTCTATAAACTTGCCTGTTCTGGACTTTTCATAGAAACATGCATGGTGTTTTACATGTGGTTTTTCTCATATGTAATAAGCCTCGTCACTTCGTTCCTCTTTGTGGCTGACTAATATTCCATCGTGTGCATTTGCCACATATGGGTTGTTTGCTCCTTTGGGAGTATTGTGACTAAGGTACTCTGAACATTTTGTAGGACTTTTCTTTTCTCTTCTTCTATTTCCCTATACATTTGTTCTTGTTTTTTAACATTTACATCTTTATCAGAACTAGATTTTGGTATCAGAGCCAAGTTCTCATCTTTGTCTTAAAGATTAATTAAAATGATTATTGAGGTGATATTAATGATCAGGCTTTTACCAGTGAATTTTATACATATATATCTTTGCAAACAAATAATCTTGTTTATAATATGTAGCCATGCATTACAATTTAAGCACAGATCTTAAACAATTAGGAGTTGAATAGGTTAGAATCATTTATTATTAAGAGGAGTAACATTGTTCTATTTAGTAACAAAACCATGATGAGTAGAGAGAAGGTGGTGTCAGGTCAGTTATGGAACACACAGGACCCATTACAAGATGAAGATATGGAACTCTGGATTGATGTGAAATTTCCCCTTTCAGTGGGGTGATGGCTCCAACCCTTGGCATTCATCCTGAAAGGGCTTAAAGCCTCTATCCTGGATACACCAAAAACTTGTGAGCAGCATGGATAAGGCTCACAAGTCACTAGCTGTGTACATCGTGGCTCTATTTACCAAGGGAGGGAACAGCCACCTCATTGCTATGACCAGAGACTCCGCAAATCATGTACCTGATCCTCAACTTTCTTCATGCCTATGTCTGATTCCCCACTTTATGTAGAAAATGGTTTTAACTCCATCTTTGCTGCACCCTTCACATGATTGCCCAACTAACATTCAAGGGAGAACCAGTTGTCACTATTTACTGAGGGAGGCACCAGTGAGGATGGGGTGGTGAAGGAGAGAGAGGGTGGGAGAAGCCTCATTAGGAACAGACAGAAGGAAGTGGGAATCAATATGCAGCATGGTTCCAAACCCGCAGACATGCTCTTTTGTCTCGCTAAACTTCACTTAAAGACACAAAATTACACTTTTTTAATATAATTTTTTATTTATTACAGTTTATTCACTTTGTATCCTAGCTGTAGCCCCACCCTCATCCCTTCCCAATCCCGCCCTCTCTTCCTTCCTCACCTCCTCCATGCCCCTTTCCCAGTCCACTGATAGTGAAGGACCACCTCCCCTTCCATCTGATCCTAGTCTATCAGGTCTCATCAAGACTGTCTTTCATAATCTTCCTCTGTGGCCTGGTAAGGCTGCTCCCCCCTCAGGGGGAGGTGATCAAAGAGTCAGCCACTGAGTTCATGTCAGAGACAGCCCCTGTTCCCCTTACCAGGGAACCCATTTGGAGATTGAGCTGCCATGGGCTACATCTGTGCAGGGGTTCTAGGTTATCTCTATGCATGGTCCTTGGTTGGAGTATCAGTCTCAGAAAAGACCCCTAGGCCCAGATTTTTTTGCTTCTGTTGTTCTCCTTGTGGAGCTCCAGACCCTTCCAGGTCTTTCTATCTCCCCCTTCTTTTATAAGATTCCCTGCACTCTGCCCAAAGTTTGGCTATGAGTCTCAGCATCTGCTTTAATACCCTGCAGGACAGAGTCTTTCAGAGGCCCTCTGTGGTAGACTCCTGTCCTGTTCCTTGTTTTCATCTTCTTTCGATGTCTATCCTGTTTGCCTTTCTGAAGAAAGATTGAGCATCTTACCCAGGGTCCTCCTTCTCGCTTAGCTTCTTTAGGTGTACAGGTTTTAGTATGATTTTCCTATCTTATATGTCTAATATCCACTTATAAGTGAGTGTATACCCTGTGTGTCATTCTGCTTCTGGGATACCTCACTTAGGATGATCTTTTCTAGATCCCACCATTTGCCTGCAAATTTCATGATTTTGTTGGTTTTTATTGCTGTGTAGTATTCCATTGTGTAAATGCACCACAATTACTGTATCCATTCCTCAGTTGAGGAACATCTGGGTTGTTTCCAGATTCTGGCTATAAAGAAGAAAGCTGCTACGAACATGGTTGAACAAATGTCCTTGTTGTATACGTGAGCATATTTTGGATATATGTCTAGGAGTGGCATACCTGGATCTTGAGGTAGCACTATTCCTAATTGTCTGAGAAAACACCAGATTGATTTCTAAAATGGTTGTACAAGTTTACATTCCCACCAGCAATGAAGGAGGGTTCTCCTTTCTCCACATCCTCTCCAGTAACACATGCAATTTTTAAGAGTTCTAAGATGGTGACCTCAAAGAATTAAACTCCCTTTACAACATGCAACTCTGGGCTGCTCCCAGCCCATGTTGCCAGGCACATGAGGCAGACCCCAGTATGGTAATTTCTCAACTATAAAACATTTTTAAAAGTTTAGGGGAGATTGTAAGAGCCAGAAGACCAGAAAGCCTGCTGTCTCTTAGCAATGACAGGGAAGCCACAGCCATGGACCTCAACAATATGGCTGCTTAAACGAGACCTGAACAGTGATGACATTGGCATTCAGGCTTTTGTGGAAGTGAGAACTCTCTAGGGTCCCAGCCTTAGACAGAGAGCTACAGGAGGCTAATGACTGCTAAGAGAGAATTAGCCTCTTCAAAGGATGAGCCCCATAAGTGGTTACCCAGTTCCAAGTGGTCGTCCCTGAAATCAGTACACACATAAACAACACTAAATGGACTCAGCATGCTATATTTATATGTCTATGCATGAATATATAATAATAACAGAGAAAAGAGGTCTTGGATCTGAGAGGGAGTAATTGTATGTGGAGGTACACAGGACGAGTGGGAGGAAAGGAAAGGGGGGACATGATATGGTCTTACTTTAATTTTTTAAAAAGTTTGGGAGAGTGATTTTATCTCCCTTTATGAAATATGAAGCAAGGTATGCCGAACATTTTAATTATATGCATAAAATTATATGTATTTATATTATATATGCTTTGTGTTATTGTCGGTTCATAACGTCAGTGATTTCTATTTTATTCTTTGTACTTTTTGTGTATTTTCTAGATATTGTAGAAGGAAGTGAGCTCTTTTTATAATCAGTCACCTTAATGTTACATAGATACACCCTGCCAGATATTATCTTACTTAAATGTGATATTATTTTAGTACTGTAATCAAGAAACCTATTTCTGTTCTTGTCCAGATCCATTCAGATAAGATTAGCCAATGCTGTGGATGCTCCTGGTGTTGCAAATCTCGTTAACACTCTCCTGCTGAGCAGAAAGATACTGGATGATTTTGACCAATACAACGAGGCTTGCCAAGACCCTGTGAGTACTGCTAGTCACTGCTGTGGTTTTCTTTTCCTGCTCCAAAGGGCCGTTATGACCCATGAATGGTCGGGCTTAGAGCGGTCTTGAGCATCACTTAGAGGAGCCTGTGGGGGCAGCAGCGGAGAAGGTGTGAGGAGTTGGCAGATCTGTCATCTTGGAAGAACGGTTTAGGACTCCATGGTATCTGATGTCCTCCCCAGTAGCAATGAGTGCCAGACTTAGATGAACAGAGCTCCATTTTAGTTATGCTAGATGGTGAGCCTAGCCAGGACCTTTTGTTGAGTTGGCTTGAGGTTTCAAGGACTAGATAAAGGATGACCCAAAGGTCAATGTTTGGTCTTCTCTAGCATATGTGAGCCGTGAGAAACATCAGGCTGAGGTCAGTCTACGTGCTAACACTGCCATGCTAACACTGACATGAGGCCGGGGTCAGTCTACATACTAACACTGAGGCCGGGGTCAGTCTATATGCTGACACTGAGGCCGGGGTCAGTCTACATCCTGACACTGTGATGCTAAAACTGAGGTTCGGCGGACACTGCCAGGTGACCTCACTAGATGTGCAATTAGTCAAGAGTTGGAGAAGCAGGCTGTAACTTCTCTAATATGCTTCATTTCATAATAGTTTTATCAAACTATGACCAAGAAACTCTGTAGTAGATTTTACAATTCAAATATACTATATAAGTAGGACCTGCTACTAGAAAGAGACAGGATCCCACTGGTCACTGGTCCCTTTAAACCTGCATTCAGAAACTCTTTCAGGTTAATACCTTTGCTTGTAAAATCAGTAACTAGTTGCCTGATCTTGAGCTTTATGTAAGGAAAATCATGCAGTTTTCCTTCCTCGTGTGAAGTTCCTTTCCCCAGCAATATGTTTCTCAGATTTGTCTGTAGCTTGACACAATTATTTCATCACGTGACTATATCACACTATTTCTTCATTCTGCTGCTGGGGTCATTTGGAAAAATAGGAAGGTCTGGATTTTTAACTATAAAATAAAACAAACATTTTAAAGTTATTATTTAAGTCATCAGAGAGACACCAAATATCTAGACATGATGATGCCAGAGAAATATACTATTACAAGGGTATAAAATTAAAATAAAATTTCCATCACATTCATTATGCTTTGGTGTGTGTGTGTCCTTCATCTTCATTTGTTTCCTTCTGTCCCTCTAACCAGTGTGGTCTCAAGTTCTGTTTCTCCAAGTGTGGTCTAATGAATTTGAAGGGAGTATTCTCTAAGATGAAAATTTTAGTGAGGGGTCTGGAGAGATGGTTTGGCAGTTCAGACCACTTGCTGCTCTTCCAAAGGACTGAGTTCAAGTCCCAGCATCTACGTGGTGGCCTACAACCAGCTGTAACCTCCATTGCAGAAGACCCAGCGCCCTCCTGGGACCGCCACAGGTGCCAGGAATGCATGCACAGCACACAGATAAGCATTACACAAATCTAAGAAGCCTAAAGCATTTGGATGAGACTGCGGTGAATTTCCCCTTAATAGCAAGACAGTATGTGTCTTTGCACTTACCATCGATACTCAACCACCGAAGGCACAGAGCCATGGCAAGTGAAGCCGCTGGGCCTCGGCAGGAATCAAGGTAGCAACAGCAAGCATTCCGACGGCCATGGTGTTCTTCATCATCACAAACGTGCTGAAAAAGAAGAACAAAAAGAAGGTGGAGAAGGAAAGATAGAAGGGGGAGAGAGAGAGAGAGAGGGAAGGAAGAAAGGAAGGAAAGAAGGAAAGAAAGGAGTCTCCACATTTAGCAGAATGGCTAAGACAAAGCCAAGTAGCTTGTACTCTGGGACATTTACCCAGAGTAATGATGATGTGCACATAAGTATTCTTAGCAGCTGGGATCATCCCAGGTAGTTTTCAGCAGATGGGTGTGTAAATAAGCTATACAGATCCGTGTGTGGGGCACTCCTCAGCAATGAAAGGGATGGATTGTTGTATCAGCTTGTATGAATTTTCACATTGTTCTGCTGAGAGAAACGACACGCAAGTTCCTAAGGGTTGTGTAATTATATGCATAGATTCATACTTATATTTACATTCACAAACAAACACATATAATACTTACACAGATGCTTGTACTTATACATTCATGTGATATTTTAAAATGATGAAATTTTACAATTGGAGAATGGGTTATTTGTTGTAAGAGGCCAAGGGTGGGGCTGGGGGATTTCTTTCTGTGCTGTTGGAACTCTTTGATATCATGGTGGAGGCTGAGACACAAACCTATAAATAAATAAATAAATAAATAAATAAATAAATAAATAAATAAATAAATAAA